CGAGAGCCGCACCACACGCAGAGCAGACGACAACAACAACAACAACACATTCTGACTCAAATAAACAAAACATGTGATGGAATTAACTGCGTCTCTTTAGTCCCCCCCCCCACTTGCTTAACAATCGCGTTAGACTGTTGTACATTTTGTCTCTCCCCAAGACATGGCACGGTGACACGCATTCCTCTGCCATATTTAATCAATTATCTTGACGTTAAAATACTTTTTCAGATTTACGTTTCGTTTTGAATTTTATTATTTCCCGAGAACGGCTGCCTGCATGGTGGGGGGGGGGGGGCAGCCAAAGAGCAGCAAGGGGGGGCAGCCAAAAAGCAGCCACCGCACGCCGCTCAAGAGGCGCGGCTTGCCGATCCCCGGTCTCCGCAGACCGTTGGGGCGAGCGCTGCTAGCGAGCAGCGATGATGAAGGGGGTGGCCAGCATCACGCCCGGCCGTCTTTGTCTCCCCCAGCGCACCAGGTACTCATTTGAGGCTGAGTCGACTTAGGGGATGCCCAGGACCGGTTCAGATAATCGTCGCCGGTGTCAGTGGCCGTGAGCGGGAATCGAACCCGGGTGGCCGGGTTCGTGGCGCTAACCGTTACACCACCGCTCACCGCACATAGACACGCGAAGACCAAGATCCCCACTACAGCCTTAACAGACTGTTGGGGCGAGCGCTGTTAGCGAGCGCCTACGAAGGCCGGCACGGCACACGAGGGGGTGGGTGGCCAGCACCACGCCCGGCCGCCTTTGTCTCCCCTCCAACGCCGACGTTTTACACGCCGCACCTGGGGTAGTCCCTACACCAGTTAAAATACAGCATTCACCAGCGATGTTGGTCGGGAATCGAACTCGGGTCGCCGTGTTCGTAACGCCGCGCACTGCCCACTGTGCCACCCAATATGTGCACGCACGTTGAACTTCCTCGCCACCGCACGCAGCCAACGGTGCTGATCGGAGACGCGGCGGTAAGAAGACAACAGACACTCAACTAGAGATCAGCTGAACGAAAGCGGGGGGGGGGGGGGGAGAAGGGGGGGGTGAACCCCAACGGAGGCCGCCGCACCTCCAGCTTCCTAGCGCTCTCCAACTCGGCGTCCACGAAGTCCAGCGTCACCGGCTCCTGGAAGTTGGGCAGCTGCGCCGCCGCCGTCGCCGCCGTCACCGCCGCCGCCGTCAGCCCGACGGGAGAGAGGGAAGAAGCGTCAGTGAGGGGCGACCGTCCACCGTCGACACGAGTGGTGCGATCCACGACCGTCATTGTTTATTTGACGAGCGCCGGGGTTTTAGGTCGCCGCTCGGGCACGAGGCCACCGCTCGGCCGCCGCCCTCCGGCTCGAGGGGGCACCTCGTGGGCACACGGAGCCAGCTGCCTTTTGTTTTTCAGCAAACGGGAGGAGGGGTGTTTGAAAAGCAGGCGCAAAGCAGGCAGCACGCGTGCGTGTGTATGTACGTTGAGCTTCTATCGCACCGTACGTAGCCCACCGCGTTAATCGGAGGTGGACAGCAAATGAACATACACAAAGCAGTTCTCTTGAGTTTACAATCTAGTGGCTTCCTAATATCGGAACACCACCGGGGCACCATGGCACCGGAGCACCGTGGCACCATGGCACTGTGGCACCGGGGCACCGTGGCACCGTGGCACCATGGCACTGTGGCACCGGGGCACCGTGGCACCGGGGCACCGGGGCACCGGGGCACCTCGTCCGAGAGTCGCGGGGCGCCTGACCTTGGGCAGGAAGTTGGGGTGCAGGAGGACGTAGCCGTTCGGGTCGATGGCAAAGAAATAACCGTTGGCTCCAAGCTGCAAAACAACAACAACAATGGTCGTCATCAGCACCACAGCGACCCCTCGGCACAGCGTCAACATCACCGTGGCCACACAGCGCCATCTGCTTCCCACGGTCAGTGTCTCGTCAGCGCCAGAGTCAGGCTCTGCTTGAACCATTGATGGCGAACTGCCCTCTTTCGGTAAAGTCACATAGGTAGAAAAAATAAGGGATCACAATAGATCACGACGTCTCGACAGCCACACAAGCAATCGTCTTCAGGTGGGAGAGAGAAACAGGCTGCTGAAACAAGTCGTGATGGATATAGAGCCGAGAGGGGAGTGGGGGGGGGTGTTTCAGCAGCCTGTTTCTCTCTCCCACCTGAAGACGATTGCTTGTGTGGCGATCGAAACGTCGTGATCTATTGCGATCTCTTATTTAAGAGTATGGATTCCTGCAGTGACGAAAGCTTCAAATCAAGATTGCCCTCTTTAAGATACGTGCTCGTAGATTGGCACGGAGATATACGAAAGGAATACGTAAACTTTTTCACGGATGGTTCATAAAAGTGAGCGGGTGGCGATTGAAAGTGACACGGCCTGTCGGGACTAAGAGTGGGAACCAGGAGATGGAACGCGCCCCAGAGGACGTCCACCGCGGGAGGAGACGGAGCGATGAGATCGGTTCACGCGGAGGTGCCAGGTGGGGATCGTTTAACACCGTGGCGATGGAGGAGGCTCGCGAAGGACGCTGCTACTGGGCAGTTGGAGGCAGTCGCCCTCACAACAACGAGCGCAGCGCCGGGCGGCTAAAACACAGCAGGTTGGCACAGTGGGGGGCACAGGTGGTGCATCTGCCGGTCATCCCAGTTAGTCAACCCGTGGCACCTGCTGGGTCTGTCCCGTGACCTCCTGTCAGCAGCGAGCCGTCGACACTTCGCGTGGCCTCAAAGTGCACCTTGCCTGGCACAGGCGCCGTGCTGACGTCACCACCAGTTAATGGTGAATGGCCGCGTATTGGTGGTGATAACGAGGCGGTGATAACTGGGCGGTGGTGACGAGGAGGTGATGACGGGGTGGTGATGACGAGGTGGTGATGACGAGGTGGTGATGACGAGGTGGTGATGATGAGGCGGTGATGATGCGGTGATGATGAGGTGGTGATGATGAAGAGGTGGTGACTCGTGCGTCTGCGCTCACGTTGAACTGGTCGGTGAGCTCCTTGATCTCTTTCAGGGACACGTCCACGCCCATCACGCCCAGGATCAACTGGTTCTGGCACCACCACAGGGGCGAGGGGGGCAGACACAGTGGCTTGTTTTACTCTACTTGTATGTCCACGGGCGAGCACATCACAATCTTTATTGATAGTCCTGGAGAAATCTCATGAGCCGTGAAGCTCTTTTGTTTCACAGATGTCCCGTAAGGGGCAAACGGGGTCAGAAGGTTACAACAACAAACAACAATAGACACACACACGATCGGAGTGCAACGTCTAGGAAAGCTAAACAAATCACTACAAATAAATAAACTATACCGCTCGTGAGGCCATTGGCATTCCATGGGCAATGTTAGTCTATGAGCAATATAAATCTATGGGCAATTCCAGTCCATGGACAATTTTAGTCTGTGAGAAATTCCAGTCTATGGTTAATGCCAGTATATGGGCAATGCCAGTATATTGGCTATACTAGTATATTGTCAATGCCAGTATATTGGCAATGCCAGTATATTAGCAATGCCAGTATATTGGCTATACCAGTATATGGGCAATGCCAGTATATTGGCAATGCCAGTATATTAGCAATGCCAGTATATTAGCAATGCCAGTATATTAGCAATGCCAGTATATGGGCAATGCCAGTATATTGGCAATGCCAGTATATTAGCAATGCCAGTATATTAGCAATGCCAGTATATTAGCAATGCCAGTATATTGGCAATGGCAGTATATTGGCAATGCCAGTATATGGACAATGCCAGTATATTGGCAATGCCAGTATATGGGCAATGGCAGTATATTGGCAATGCCAGTATATGGACAATGCCAGTATATTGGCAATGCCAGTATATGGGCAATGGCAGTATATTGGCAATGCCATTATATTGGCAATGCCAGTATATGGGCAATGCCAGTATATTAGCAATGCCAGTATATGGGCAATGCCAGTATATGGGCAATGCCAGTATATTGGCAATGCCAGTATATTGGCAATGGCAGTAAATGGGCAACGTGATAAGTAGGGCATTAGAAACGAATCTCCCCACAGACGCTCTCCTTGCTCCTGCTTGCTGCTGCCTCCCTGCTCACCCACCCCAGGGGAGGCGGAGGTTAAAGCCGCGGCCACGGCAGCTCCCGCGGTCTCTCTCCGCTAGGGGGCAGTGCAGCCCCATCAGAGAGACGGCGTGGGGAGCCCCGAGCGCCTCGCTAGGGGGGAGCTCCCAAACCACGCCCGTCCCGTGCCGCCCGCCACCGCGGGGCGCTGCGGGTGATTCCGCGGGGTGACCCGAGCGGATTGTTGGCAGCTGTTCCACGGTCAGCGCGCGGTGTCGAACCCACACCCCCCACCCCACTCACCGGGAGGGAGTCAGCTGAAGGGGAGCCCAGGGCGAGTCTCGTTTACGAGGGTGGGTGGCTGAGATGGGGAGACGGTGAGTGAGTGGGAAAGTGAGTTGGTGAGTGATGGAGTGGGTGGGTGGCTGAGTTGGGTGAGATGGTGAATGAGTGGGTTATTCATTCAGTGGATGACATGGTGAGTGAGTGGGTGAAATGATGGGTGAGTGATCGAGTGGGTGAGATGGTGAGTGGGTGAGTGAGATAGTGGGTGAGTGATCGAGTGGGTGAGATGGCGAGTGAGATGTTGGGTGACTAGGTAAGTGATCGAGTGGATGGGTGAGTGGGTGAAATTGTGAGTGAGATGGTGGGTAAGTTGGTGAGTGATCGAGTGGGTGGGTGAGATGGTGTGACAGTGGGTGATGCTTGAGTGCATTTGTGGATGTGTGGCCCAGTGGGTGAGTGGGTGAGATGGTGAGTGAATGGGTAAGTGATTCAGTGGGTGAGATGGTGAGTCAGTAATTGAGTGGATGGGTGAGTGGGTGAGATGGTGAGTGAATGGGTAAGTGATTGAGTGGGTGAGATGGTGAGTCAGTAATTGAGTAGGTGGGTGAGTGGGTGAGATGGTGAGTGAGATGGTGGCTGAGTTAAAAAAAGAAATTAACCAGATAACAACTCAAGAGACCAGTATATTATTTAATTTACAAGAGTGAGTGGGTGGGTTAGTGGGCAGGTGAGTCGGTGGGTGAGTGGGTCGGTGAGTGAGTCGGTTAGTGGATTGATTAGTGGGTGGGTTAGTGGATAGGTAAGTGGGTGGGTGAGTTGGTAGGTGAGTGGGTGGGTTAGTGGGCAGGTGAGTGGGTAGGTGAGTGGATGGGTGGGTGGGTTAGTGAGTGGGTGGGTGAGTGGGTGGTTGGGGGGAATGGGTAGGTGGGTTAGTGGGTAGGTGAGTGGATGGGTGGGTAGGTGGGAGAGTTGGTGAGCAGATGGTGGGTCGGTGAGTGCATGTGCATATTGGGGTCTACGGATGAAACGTGCCTTAGAAATATTATTTAGTATTATTCAGTGAGATGTTGAGTTTGGTGAGTCGAGGTGTGTATCCCGCTTGAGAGCTCCGAGCATAAATCAAAGTGAAATTATAAACTCCCTCCTTGGGGATGATGCCCAGTCACACTCAGATTGAATACTCGACAGGGAATATTTGTAAAACAACAGAGAGTATTGTAATTCCCATGATGTCACGTGTTGCAAACAAGAGCAGTCTCCACCACGCTGTGCCGCTCCTGGCCTCTCCATCCGTCAGCCATGCAGAGGGCCATTGCCAGCATTGCCTGCTCTGGAGAAGGGCCGTTGCCCGAAACGTCGCGAGGGGCCCGCCGCCGACGTTACCTGGACGTTGCCGCTCGCAGACAGGTTGAAGACGGGAAGAGTCCCCGTGATCACCAGGCCCTGCTCCTGCGGGGGAGAGACACGAGAGAGAGGGACAATGGTGTGAGAGTCCGTGGAGTGAGAGACCGTGGGGAGAGAGACCGTGGGGAGAGAGACCGTGGGGTGAGAGACCGTGGAGTGAGAGTCCGTGGAGTGAGAGACCGTGGAGTGAGAGACCGTGGAGTGAGAGACCGTGGGGTGAGACCGTGAGGTGAGAGACCGTGGGGGGAGAGACCGTGGGGAGAGAGTCCGTGGGGAGAGAGACCGTGGGGAGAGAGTCCGTGGGGAGAGAGACCATGGGGAGAGAGACAGTGGAGTGAGAGACCGTGGAGTGAGAGACCGTGGAGTGAGAGACCGTGGGGTGAGAGTCCGTGGGGAGAGAGACCGTGGGGAGAGAGTCCGTGGAGTGAAAGACCGTGGGAAGAGAGACCGTGGGGAGAGAGACCGTGGGGAGAGAGACAGTGGAGTGAGAGACCGTGGGGAGAGAGACTGTGGAGTGAGAGACCGTGGAGTGAGACTCCGTGGAGTGAGAGTCCGTGGGAAGAGAGTCCGCTCGACTGATTCGGAGTGAGACCTCTGCTGTTAAACTGGAGCCGGTCATGAGCACACTGCCCAGGTATGGGAAACTCTCCACTCTCTCCACAACTGCCCCATCACCGATTGGGAGTTGTGGGGGTGGAGTGTCCGATGGTACAAAATACCCAGGCAGGTGCTTAGTTTTGGTGGGGCTGATGGTAAGGCCCCATCTCTTAGTAGCATGCTCCAGTCTCAGCAGCAGCGCCTCCAACTCCTCCTCTGAGTGAGCAGCAATTACCAGATCTTCGAAATACGTAGCATGGTTGATCAATAGGGAGCCATACCTTTTACCACACCAGGTAATCGATCAGCCTCCCATTTTATCTTTACCAGATGGAAATTCCTCCGGTACGGCTATTGAAGGCTTCACAAACTACGTGGTCGAAATAGATGTTAAATAATGTGGGAGCCAGAGGACATCCCTGTCGCACCCCAAGGTGTACAGGGAATGGCTCTGACTCCCGGCCACGTAGTTTTACCCGGGCCCGCTCACCATCATGAAGGTCCTTAATGATCGTGAGCAGAAGGTCAGGGACTCCAAAAGCACGAAGAACAACCCACAGCCCAGGCCTAATGATGGTATCATAGGCCTTGACCAGGTCAATAAAGCAGAGATGTAGGTCTTGTTGGAATTCCCTACAACTCTGTTGTAGCAGACGGACAGAAAATATGGCATCTGTGCACGACCGCCCTTTCCAGAAACCGCATTAGGGCTCCGCAAGCCTCTCCTCAGCGTGCCTGGAAAGGCGATGTTGAATAATCCTTGCCAGGACCTTTCTCGGCACACTGAAGAGTGAGATGCACCTGTAGTTGTCACAGTCTGTGCGGTCGCCCTTCTTAAAGAGGGGGACTGCCAGGGCATCCTTCCAATCCTGCGGAACCCGTCCAGTGGTCCAGACTGTTGTTATGATGTCATATAGGGCAGTCTGTGCACAAACGCCACCCTCCCTCAGCATTTCGCTTGGGAGATCATCTCTGCCTGGTGCCTTTCCTAGTCTCCGGATCACCTTCAGTACTTCCTCAACAGATGGCACCTCAGCCAGCCACTGACAGGTGGTGACTTCTTTCAATATTTGAGGCACAGCAGCCTCAGCAGGGTCATCCTCACTATGTCCCACGATGTTCTCCAGACTGAGGGATTTTCCCTCCCCCAGGACCTCACAGAAATGCTCAGCAAATCTGCAAACCTGTTCCTGGGGGTTGGAGATTTGATAACCGGTCCTTCCCCAAATTATGTTAATAGGTGTGGTGCTGCAGGTTACTTTTTCGATGGCGTTAAAGAGCAATGTGTGATCGCGGGTCATTGAGGCAGACTCCATCTCCTCAGCAACCAGCGATCACCACCCATCCTTGCAGCGCCTCACGGCTCTCCGAACCTCCAAGCGAAGGCTGCAGTAGGCCTCCTCATTCTATGACGTGGGATGTTGTAGACGATGATAGTGGGTCTGTCGCTTTTTCTCAACCATCCTGAACACCTCCTCTGTCAGCCAGGGTCTCTGGGGAGGTCTGGACGGCGTACCCAAAGCAGTCATTGCAGCTGCCTGAGTCACAGTCCTAAACCTCGCCCATTTCCCCATGACATCAGGAGGAGTGGGAAATGATGCCAACCCCAGCCGCAAGCAATGATGAAATTTTCACTTGCAACTTTCATCAGTTAGCTGAGACCATGCCCTATGGGTTGGAATGGGGTCCTGGGTGTATACCCACCATCGGAGTGGAAGAATGGCAGGCACATCTTACAGATGACAAGTCGATGGTCAGTGGACAGATCAGCTCCACGGTAGGTCCTGGTGTCAAGGACATTGGCCCGCATCCGCTGTTCCATCACTATGTAGTCCAGCAGATGTTCTTGCTTGGACCCTGCATGCATCCATGATGTTGTGTGGATGCGCCGATGCTGGAACAGCATGTTGGTAATTGCAAGCCCATGGGCTGCACAGAAATCTAGCAGCCTCCTACCGTTGCAATCACTACAGACCAGGTGCCAGCATCATGACTAACTCGGGCATTGAAGTCATCCAACAAGATGACTCTATCCCAAGGGGCCACTTTAGCCAGCACCTGTAACAGGAGGTCATAGAAGGCATCTGACTCATCGGCCTTGCCTGCGTCCCTCCACGGATGTTTGTCTTCGGTGGGGGCATAAGTAACCACGACCACCACTCCTCGCCTCTGGTTGATGGGAATGCGAGCCCAAAGTAGCCTGGGGCTTACAGCTTCCCACACAGCACACACAACACACACAAACAGGACACACAACACACACACAATACACACACGCAGGACACACAACACACACACGCAGGACACACAACACAAACACGCAGGACACACAACACACACGCAGCACACACAGCACACGATACACAACACACACGCAGGATACACAACACACGACACACAACACCGACACAAACAAAGACAAATATCCCCCGTATAGTCTTAACAGTTGGGGCAAGTGCTGTTAAGCAAGCACCTATGAAGGCCGGAACGGCACACGAGGGGGTGGGTGGCCAGCACCACGCCCGAACGCCTTTGTCTCTCTAGAGGCGATGTTTAAACACCGCACCAGGGACTCATTAGAGGGTGAGTCGACCTAGGGGAGGTACAGGACCGGAATCGAACTCGGGTCGCCGGGTTCGAAGCGCAGCGTAGCGCTAACCGCTACACCACCGCTCCCTACATACAGACACCTGCACACAACACACGCTTACACACACACGCATCCCTCAAGGTGACCGGGCAGCTTCACGTCTCACTCACACGGGGCCCATCCTCCGCATTGAAACACCCAAACAGGACAACTCAATGAGACACCCCCACTACCCCCCACGAGTCCCCACTCTACCCCCACCCCCGAATCTACCCCCCCCCACTCTACCCCCCCCCCACTTTACCCCCCCCCCACTCTACCCTCCCCACTCTACCCCCCCCCACTCTACCCCCCGCAATTCTACCTCCCAAATCTATCCCCCCAACTCTACCCCCCCACCCTACCCCCCCCACCCTACCCGCCCCCACTCACCCCCCCCCCCCCACTCTGTGATGGGTCGGTGTGTGTATGTGATGGGGCGGTGTGTGTGTGTGTGATAGGGCAGTGTGTGTGTGTGTGATAGGGCAGTGTGCGTGTGTGTGATGGGGCGGTGTGTGTGTGTGTGATGGGTTGGTGTGTGTGATAGGGCAGTGTGTGTGTGTGTGTGATGGGGCGGTGTGTGTGTGTGTGTGATGGGTTGGTGTGTGTGTGTGTGATAGGGCAGTGTGTGTGTGTGTGTGTTGATGGGGCGGTGTGTGTGTGTGTGATGGGGCGGTGTGTGTGTGATGGGTTGGTGTGTGTGTGTGATGGGGCGGTGTGTGTGTGTGATGGGTTGGTGTGTGTGTGTGTGTGATAGGGCAGTGTGTGTGTGATGGGTTGGTGTGTGTGTGTGTGTGTGATGGGGCGGTGTGTGTGTGTGATGGGGCGGTGTGTGTGTGTGTGTGTGATGGGGCGGTGTGTGTGTGTGTGATGGGTTGGTGTGTGTGTGTGTGTGTGATGGGGCAGTGTGTGTGTGTGTGATGGGGCAGTGTGTGTGTGTGTGATGGGTTGGTGTGTGTGTGTGTGTGATGGGGCGGTGTGTGTGTGTGTGTGATGGGGCGGTGTGTGTGTGTGTGATGGGACGGTGTGTGTGTGTGGAGTAGTCTAGACCGCCCCCCCCCCCCCCACCATTATTGATGGAGACAGCCTTGAGAAGACTCCCCCACTCACAGTGGCCTGAAACAGCAAAGCATGTTCCCACTTATACCCCCCCACCCACCTCTTCTTCACCCCCCTCCTCTTCTCCCCCCCCCCCACCTCTTCTTCCCCCCACCTCTTCTTCCCCCCCACCTCTTCTTCCCCCCACCTCTTCTTCCCCCCCACCTCTTCTTCCCCCCCACCTCTTCTTCACCCCCACCTCTTCTTCACCCCCACCTCTTCTTCACCCCCACCTCTTCTTCACCCCCACCTCTTACCCCTCCAATCCTCTCCCCCCCCCCAATCCTCTCACCCCCCCAATCCCCCCCCCCCATCTCTTCCCCCGCCTTATTTCATTGCGTTAAGAGAGCCGTCTATTGAGTCCGGCGGGGGGGGGTTGGTGGGTGATGATGACAGCTGCTGCCCGTTGTCAAATCGCATCCACTGGTCGCTCGGATAGTGCACGGCCTAGCGTCACCACGGAAGGCGCTGACACAGCTGCTGCTGCTTTACAGATGACGACCGGTGTCACTCATCCACTCACCAAGCTCACTAGGCCGTGAGCTCACTCAGTCGCTCACTCGCTCACCCACTCGCTCAGCTCACTCGCTCACCCGCTCAGTCGCTCACCCACTCACTCAGTCTCGGTGTCACTCATCCACTCACCAAGCTCACTAGGCCGTGAGCTCACCCACTCGCTCACTCGCTCACCCACTCACTCAGTCTCAGTGTCACTTATCCACTCACCAAGCTCACTAGGCCGTGAGCTCACCCACTCGCTCACTCGCTCACCCACTCACTCAGTCTCAGTGTCACTTATCCACTCACCAAGCTCACTAGGCCGTGAGCTCACTCAGTCGCTCAATCGCTCACCCACTCACTCAGTCTCGGTGTCACTCATCCACTCACCAAGCTCACTAGGCCGTGAGCTCACTCAGTCGCTCAATCGATCACCCACTCACTCAGTCTCGGTGTCACTCATCCACTCACCAAGCTCACTTGGCCGTGAGCTCACTCAGTCGCTCACTCGATCACCCACTCACTCAGTCTCGGTGTCACTCATCCACTCACCAAGCTCACTAGGCCGTGAGCTCACTCAGTCGCTCAATCGATCACCCACTCACTCAGTCTCGGTGTCACTCATCCACTCACCAAGCTCACTAGGCCGTGAGCTCACTCAGTCGCTCACTCACTCACCCACTCACTCAGTTCACTCGCTCACCCGCTCACTCAGTTCACTCGCTCACCCGCTCACTCAGTCTCGGTGTCACTTATCCACTCACCATGTTCACTAGGCCGTGAGCTCACTCAGTCGCTCACTCGCTCACCCGCTCACTCAGTCTAAGTGTCACTTATCCACTCACCATGTTCACTAGGCCGTGAGCTCACTCAGTCGCTCACTCGCTCACCCACTCACTCAGTCTCAGTGTCACTTATCCACTCACCAAGTTCACTAGGCCGTGAGCTCACTCAGTCGCTCACCCGCTCACTCAGTCTCGGTGTCACTTATCCACTCACCAAGCTCACTAGGCCATGAGCTCACTCAGTCGCTCGCTCACTCACCCATTCGCTCCAGTCATCCCCCACACTCATCAAAACTCACTCGCTCTCTCTCATCCACCCCCTCCCATTCGTGACTCCAGTTAGTATTCGCGCCACTACTGCAGCATTCAAGCCTCTTCACGGAGGAATTCGTATAATTACGTGTTCGCGAACAGCACTTGCACCATCGGCCTGTGTCGGCTACACGGGGGACCTTTGTCTGTGTGTTTGTGTGTGCGGGGTGCTTACCAGAGCGTCTAGGTAGACGTTGGTCCACTGCACCTGCTTGCCCCGGGGCCCAGCCAGCACCATCGGGCGACCCAGCACGTCCAGGTACTCCTGAGGGGCACGTGGGTCATGGGGTCAAGGCAAAGATCCCCCGCGTAGCCTTAACAGACTGTAGGGGCAAGTGCTGTGAGCGAGTAGCACCTATGAAGACTGGCAAGGCACACGGGGTGGGGGGGGTGGGTGGCCACTGCTACGCCCGGCCGCCTTTGTCTCCCCAATGCTGATGTCGGCAGAACGACAAAGAGAAAAAAAAAACATTAATTTTGAGTTTCGCACTTAACTTGGCTAAAATCCAGCCGGGGAGAGTCAAAAACATCGGGCTGGGTGGGTGAAGGCGCTGAACTCGCAGCGTGCCCGGGCTACACTGGGCACGTGGACAATAACTCCGCCCCCCCCGCTCTCTCTCTCTCGGCACGTCACAGACACACGCGCCGCCTACACAGCCCATCAGCCGCGCGGGCTTCTGGGAGCGCGGCAGTTTCCAGCAGCGTTGACTCAACTCTGGAGCAGGGTTCGACACGCAAGTGACTCATCAGCAGCAGAGTCAGTTTCGCTTGAACCAATGCTGATGAACTGCCAGACGCTAATGGGCAAGGGCCGGTTTCGACATTGAGTGTCTCATCAGCTGCAGAGCCAATGCTGATTAACTGCCCCAGATCTTCATAGGCGATGATCCCCAACCCCCTCCCTGTACGCTGTGGGGGGGCTAAGTTCGACACCAACACGCCAGATTGGCACGGCTAGCTCAGAGCAAGCAGTCGAGGAGCTGCGCTGCTGAGCAACGGAGACAGCGGACAGCCCGGGGCGGGGCGCGTGGTGCCACCGTCGGCGCAGGGTGGGTGGTGACGGGGGGGGGGGGAGACTCGGGGTGTCGGGGTGTCTGTCTCCCCGTGGGGGTGGGGGGTGGGGATGTCTGCCTACCACCCACCGCTGCCTCGCCCCGTGTGTCAGTGTCAAATTAGGGCAGCACAGCTGATGCCCAGCCGCCGCTGCCCTTGGACTCCTTAGGTAATTGGGATTCTCTCCCCCACGGCCGTGACTTTGCATCTAAACAGAGATGGGTGTGTGGGGGGTGCAGGTTGGGTGTGGGGGGGGGGGAGCGGTGGTGTTAGTGGTGAGCGCGACGCTGCGTCACGAACCCGGCCAGCCGAGTTCAATTCACGGTCGTGGCCACTAACGGCAGTGACGATTATATCTGAACCGGTCCTGGGCCTCCCCGTGGTCGACCCAGTCTCAAATTTGTAAACATCGTCACTGGGGAGACAAAGGCGGCCGGGCGTGGTGCTGGCCACCCACCCCTTATTGTGTCCTGCCGGCCTTCATAGGTGCTCGCTGACAGCACTTGCCCAACAGTCTGCTCAGGCTATACGGAAGAGCTTTGTCTTTGGGGGGAGGGGTATGGGGTGCTGCTGTGTTGACTGCGGTGCACAAACGACGACTCAACGCGTCCCGTGTCGTCAGTGTGCGGTGCAGAAGGGTCATTGCCTGAAACGTCGTCTGCGGCTGCTGACAATGCTGCTGATGATGCTTTATGATGAAGCTGCCGCTGACGATGATGACCATGATCATCATCACGGTATTCGCGGGGAAGTTACTCGACTATCAATGCTACTGAATGCTGCTGACAATGCTGCTGACAATGCTGATGATGATGACAGCGCTGATGTTGATGATTGATGGTGGTGCTGAAAATTATGCTGCTGATGATGATGATGATAACAATAATTCTGATGATACTGCCGATGCTGCTGCTATACTGTATATGCTACTGATAATGACGCCGTTACTGCTGTTGATGATGATGACAGTGCTAGTGATGATTGATGACTATACCAATTGTTCTGGTGCTGATGATGATACTGCCGATGCTGCTGCTATCGATGCTAATGAAAATGCCGCTGATGCTCCTGTTGCTGATGATAATGACAGGAGTATTGATGATGCTGCTGCTACTCTTGATGACAGTGCTGGTGATGATTGATCATTATAACAATAGTTCTGCTGCTGATGATGTTACTGCTATCGATGCTATTGATAACGCTGCTGCTGCTTCTGATGATGATAGAGACGAGTGCTGATGATGATGCTGCTGCTGATTCTGCAATCGGCCCACGCTGCCCCTCCTGCGGTGCAGGACTTGCTCCCAGTCACCTGAGTGTTTATCCGGATCGCTCCGATGGACGGAATCTCAAAGTAGTATCCTTGAGAGAGAGAGAGACACAGAGAGAGAGAGAGAGATCATCAGCAGCGGCAGGAGAGAGAGAGACACAAAGAAAGAGATACAGAGAGAGAGATAAACGCGTAGAGGGAGAGTGAGAGGGATGTTGATGACTTTGTGTTGTAAGTTGTTATTCCATCGAAGCAGCGAGAATGGTTGGACGCAGAGCCACACGCGGGTCCACTCGGCAAAGCGAAATGGCTGCGCCAACCGCCACGATCACACAACGCCCACGTCATGCTGACGACGACGATGACGACGATGATGACGGCGACGACAGTGACGATGGCGACGATAATGACAACGATGGCGTCGATGACATCCATGATGACGACAACGATGATGACGATAATGACAATGACGACGACGGCGACAATGACGACGGCGACGACAATGGCGACGGCGATGACAATGGTGACGGCGATGACAATGGTGACAGCGATGACAATGGTGACAGCGATGACAATGGTGACAGCGATGACAATGGTGACAGCGATGACAATGGTGACAGCGATGACAATGGTGACAGCGACGACAATGGTGACAGCGACGACAATGGTGACAGCGACGACAATGGCGAAGGCGATGACAATGGCGATGACAATGGTGACAGCGACGACAATGGCGAAGGCGATGACAATGGCGATGACAATGGTGACAGCGACGACAATGGTGACAGCGATGACAATGGTGACAGCGATGACAATGACGACGGCGACGACAATGGCGACGGCGATGACAATGGCGATGACAATAGTGACAACGATGACAATGGTGACAGCGATGACAATGGCGATGACAATGGTGACAGCGATGACAATGGTGACAGCGACGACAATGGTGACAGCGACGACAATGGTGACAGCGACGACAATGGCGAAGGCGATGACAATGGCGATGACAATGGTGACAGCGACGACAATGGCGAAGGCGATGACAATGGTGACAGCGACGACAATGGTGACAGCGACGACAATGGCGAAGGCGATGACAATGGCGATGACAATGGTGACAGCGACGACAATGGCGAAGGCGATGACAATGGCGATGACAATGGTGACAGCGACGACAATGGTGACAGCGATGACAATGGTGACAGCGATGACAATGACGACGGCGATGACAATGGTGACGGCGATGACAATGGTGACGGCGATGACAATGGTGACAGCGATGACAATGGTGACAGCAATGACAATGGTGACAGCGATGACAATGGTGACAGCGATGACAATGGTGACAGCGACGACAATGGTGACAGCGACGACAATGGTGACAGCGACGACAATGGCGAAGGCGATGACAATGGCGATGACAATGGTGACAGCGACGACAATGGCGAAGGCGATGACAATGGCGATGACAATGGTGACAGCGACGACAATGGTGACAGCGATGACAATGGTGACAGCGATGACAATGACGACGGCGACGACAATGGCGACGGCGATGACAATGGCGATGACAATGGTGACAACGATGACAATGGTGACAGCGATGACAATGGCGATGACAATGGTGACAGCGATGACAATGGTGACAGCGACGACAATGGTGACAGCGATGACAATGGCGACGGCGATGACAATGGCGACGACAATGGTGACAGCGATGACAACTGCCGGGGCCAGTGCCGTTTCACGAGCAGCAGCAGCGCCTACGAAGCCAGCGACTGCGCACGAGGGGGTGAGTAATCGGCACCGCGCCCGGCCGCCTTTGTCTCCCCCAGGGGCGAGGGTTACACAACGCGCAGGGCACTCCCTTGAGGCCGAGTCGACCTAGGGCGAGGCCCCGGTATCCGCAACTGTCGCTGGCCGCGAGCTGGACTCCAACCACGGCGCCGAGCTCAGCACGCAAGCACGGCACTGTGAGAGCCACGCGAGCGAGCGATTGTGTGTGTCTGTGTGTGCGTCTGTGTGTGCGTCTGTGTGCGTGTGTGTCTCTGTGTGTGCGTGTGTGTATCTGTGTGTGTGCGTGTGTGTGCGTGTGTGTCTGTGTGCGTGCGTGCGTGTGTCTGTGTACGTGCGTGTGTGTCTGTGTTCGTGCGTGTGCGTCTGTGTGCGTGCGTGTGTGTCTGTGTGTGTGCGTGTGTGTCTGTGTGTGTGCATGTGTAAGAAGGGAGACCGCACAAACTGTAACAACTACAGGGGCATCTCACTCCTCAGTGTGCCGGGAAAGGTCCGGGAAAGGTCCTGGCAAGGATTATTCAACATCGCCTTGCCAGGCACGCTGAGGAGAGGCTTGCAGAGCCCCAATGCGGTTTCAGGAAAGGGCGGTCCTGCACAGATGCCATATTTTCTGTCCGTCTGCTACAGCAGAGGTGTAGGGAATTCCAACAAGACCTACATCTCTGCTTCATTGACCTGGTCAAGGCCTATGATACCATCAGTAGGCCTGGGCTCTGGGTTGTTCTTCGTGCTTTCGGAGTCCCTGACCCTCTGCTCATGATCATTAAGGACCTTCATGATGGTGAGCGGGCCCGGGTAAAACTACGTGGCCGGGAGTCAGAGCCATTCCCCGTACACCTTGGGGTGTGACAAGGATGTCCTCTGGCTCCCACATTATTTAACATCTATTTTGACCACGTAGTTCGTGAAGCTTTCAATAGCTGTACCGGGGGAATTTCCATTTGGTACAGATATAATGGGAGGCTGATCGATGCCCGAGTGCGGTCAAGGGATGGCTCCCTATTGATCAACCACAGTATGTATGCTGATGATTTGGTAATTGCTGCACATTCAGAGGAGGAGTTGGGCCTTACCATCAGCCCCACCATAACTAAACACCTGCCTGGGTATTTTGTACCATCAGTCACTCTGCCCCCACAACTCCCAATCGGTGATGGGGCAGTTGTGGAGAGAGTGGAGAGTTTCTCATACCTGGGCAGTGTGCTTATGACCGGCTCCATTAACAGCAGAGGTCTCACTCCGAATCAGTCGAGCAGCAATATATTTTCATCGGTTGCGTAACGCTGTGGGGAAGCTACCTGGTCTGTCGCTCCGCACTAAGCTTCAGGTCTTCTCGGCCACAGGCATTCCCTTCCTTCTCTATGCTTGCGAAACGTGGACCACCCTAATGGAACATCTTCACCGGTTAGAAACATTTACCAGGCTGGATTGTGTGAAGAGCTCACAAATCCTTGAAAGATCTGGGCAAAGTCCCATCAGTGAGCTCCTCTGGCAGGAAAGGCTGCGTTGGCTGGGTCATGTAGCCCACATGCCCAGCCACCGCATGCCTAAACAGCTTTTGTTCGGCCGGATCGAGGGGGCTAAACGGGCGCGGCATGGGCTAGAGAAGAGATGGAGTGATGTGGTACAGGAGGACGTGGAGCTGAGTGGACTTGCCGATGACTGGTATCAGCTGTGTCAAGATCGGACTCAGTGGAGGAGGCTCGTGAAGGATGCTACTTGGCAGTTGGAGGCAGTCACCCTCCAACAACAACGGAGAGCGGAGGAGCAACGCTCACAACAACGAGCGGAGCGCCGGGTGGCTAAAGCATAGCAAGTTGGCACGGTCAGCTCAGTCAGTCGACCCTTGGCACCTGGGTCTGCCCCGTGACCTCCTGCCAGCGGGCGTTCAACAATTGACGTGGCCTCAAGGTGCACATGGCCTGACACAAGCGTCGTGGTGACGTCACCGCCACTTAGTGCCGAATGGCGGTTGTTGTGCGTGTGTGCGCGTGTGTGTCTGTGTGTGTGCGTGTGTGTACAGTATGTGGAGCGGTAGTGAAGCAGTTAGCGCTACACTGCGTGACAAACCCGGCGATCTGGGTGACGGTCCTGGGCCTCTCCTAGGTCGACTCAGCCTCAAATGAGTACCTGGTGCGGTGTGTAAACATCGCCACTGGGGTAGACAAAGGAGGCCGGGCGTGGTGCTGCCAATCCACCCCCGCGTGTGCCGTGCCGGCCTTCATAGGTGCTCGCTAACAGCACTCGCCCCAACAGTCTGTTCAAGCTACAGCAGCAGCGGCGGCAGCAGCGGCAGCAGCAGTGGCAGCAGCAGTGGCGGTAGCAGCGGCGGTAGCCACCAGCGGTGCTCACAGCCCCTACAGAGCCGCCGGTCGAGATTCACACGAGGGGGCGGGGTGGCCATCACCACGCCTGGCCGCCTTTGTCTTCCCAGTGGCGATGTTTACACACCGCGCCTGGCACTCGTTTGTGGCCGAGTCGACCTAGGGGAGGCCCATAACCGGTTGCAATAATCGTCGCTGGTATCGTCCACGAGCGGGAGTCGAACTCGCCGTGTTCGTAGCGCGGTGCGCTAGCCGCTGTGCTGCCGCTCCCCAGGCACACACACAAAGCTCCCCCGTATAGCCTGACCAGACTGTTGGGGCAAGTGCAGCAGCAGCAGCGTAGCCACCAGTGGTGCTCACAGCCCCTACAGAGCCAGCGGTCGAGAAATTCCTGCCTTGCAGGTACATCACGTTCACCGTCACGATCATCGTCACGATCATCGAAACGATCATCTTAACGATTGTCAATACCGTCATCGACACGATTGCCACGATCATCGTTGCCACGATCATCGTTGCCACGATCATCGTTGCCACGATCATCGTCACCATCATTGTTGTCACGATCGTCGTCACAATCGGCGATGTCACGTTCACTGTCACAATCATAATCACGATCATCGTCACGATCATCGTCACAATCATCATTGTCACGATCGTCATGACGATCAGTCACATTCACCATCATCATCACCAACATCGTCACAATCATCATCACGATAATAATCACGTTCATCGTCATCGTCAACCTCATCATGACGATCCCCGTCATCGTCATCGTCACCATCATCATCACGATCGTCACCATCATCGTCACGATCATCATCACCGTCACCGCCACCGTCATGGTCACGATCGTCACGTTCATCGTCACGTTCGTCGTCACGATCATCGTCACGATCATCGTCACGATCATCGTCACCGTCGTAAGCCGTGCCTTTGTTAGCGCATGCCATCCACTGTATGGGCGTGACGTCGTAGTTGTGCTGCCCCACGGAGAAGGTGAACACCCGCACCTGCGGAACACACACACAGACAAAGGTCCCCGGGTAGCCCACGCAGGATGTCGGGGCAAGTGCTGTTAGCGAGCACCTATCAAGGTCGCCACGGTACACGAGGGGGTCGGTCGCTAGCACCACGCCCGACCGCCTTTGTCTTTCCAGTGGCGATGTTAAACACACCGCACCAGGTACTCATTTGAGGCTGAATCGACCTAGGGGAGGCCCATAACCGGCTCAGATAATCGTCAACGGTATTAACCACGAGCGGGAATCGAACTCGGGTCGCCGGGTTCGTAGCGCGGTGCGCTTGCCGCTGTGCTCCGCTCCCCACGTACACACACAAAGCTCCCCCGTATAGCCTGAACAGACTGTTGGGGCAAGTGCTGTTAGCGAGCCACTATCAAGGCCGGCACCGTGCACCAAAGGGTGGGTGGCCAACACCCCTCTCCCGGCCGCCTTTGTTGCCCCAGTGGCGATGTCTCCCCAGATTTAACTTAGATACTGAAATCTAGTTATGCACACATGCACCAGGTACTCATTTAAGACTGAGTCTACCCAGTTGAGGCCCGGGGACTGATTCAGATATTCGTTCACTGCTGCTGGGCAGTGAACGGGAATCGAACTCGGCTGGGAGTGGATGGGTGTGTGGATTGGTGTCATGGGTGGGCGGGTGGATGTGTGGGATCGTGGGGGGTGGTTGGGTGGGGGATAGATGGCTAGATGGATGGATGGGTGGGGTGATGGGGGTGGATTGGTGGGTGGGTGTGGATGGGCGGGGGGGTGGGTGGTTGGATAGGATGGTGGGGGGTGGGTGGGGTGTTGGGGGGTGAATGGGTGGTGGGTGGGTGTGTGGAGTGGGTGTGGATGGATGGGTGGGGGTGTTGATTGGTGGTGGGTTTGTGGGTGGGATGGCGCAGGGGTGGGTGGGGTGTTGGGGGGTGATTGGCTGGAGTGTGGAGTGGGTTTAGATTGGTGGGCGGGTGAGTTGGTGGGTTTGTGGGTGGGCAAATGGGTAGGTGAGTCGGTGGTTGAGTGGCTTTGTGGGTGGGTGGGTGATGCGCGTCCCCCGGTGGTGCTGCTACCTCCACCACCTCCGCCACCTCCGCCACCACCACCTCCTCCACCACCTCCTCCACCTCCACCACCTCCACCACCTCCGTCACCTCCACCACCTCCGCCACCTCCACCACCTCCGCCACCTCCACCACCGAGGCCGCTCACCGTTTTATTTGGCCAGTTATAAAGCTCGAAGATGTCCTGGGCACGATCTTCCCCCCCGTCCGTGAACAGCATGATCATGCGGTTACAGTTGGCTCGCGAGATGTTGTGCTGCCACAAACGACAACAACAATGACAGTAAACAACCAATAGATTTGTTTTTGAAAGAGCTGAGCGGTGGCACGTTCCCAGTTTGTTGCAGAAAATTTGCCGTTCGAATCCAGAGGCTGCCCTGGTTAATACTGCGGTCCTCGCTTCTCTCATACCCAAGCTGATGTAGATGCAGAGCAACACGAGGACGATTTCAGATTAAAGGTGGTCGAGCAACGGATGACCGCAGCATCAGGAGTAGCAGGAAGGAGTCGTGAATCATCATCATCATCGCTGTGATGTCTCCTTCTGCGTATTTGTGGATCGGGGTATTGCGTCGTTACACGCTCTACTCCGGTCTCTGGTCTGGATGACCACAGTCGCAGCCCTACTTCTGGACAGTTTTTAATTCTAGCTTTGTGCATCATCAGCTATCATCCGCATCTCCTGCAGCTGCCATGGCCTTGCGTGCGTGTCTCACGTGACCACCGCATGGCTTGTACAGCGCTCTCTCTCTCTCAGCCTTGTTTAGACCACCAAATTAAGGGATTGCATGGCAGACAGACAGACAGACGGACGGGGCGCCTCACGTTGAAGAGCTGCTGGAAGGCGAACTCCAGGCCGGCCGAGTAGTTGGTGAGGCCGCGCGACGTCATCTTCTCCACGGCCTCCTTCAGCACCTTCTTGTTGCGCACGTTGGCCTGGACCAGGTGCGTGAAGCACGACACGTGGTACGCCGTGTTGTTGAACTGCGCAAGGACACGGGCGGCACGCACGCGCGGCACGGTGACACTCACGTCACGCATGACACGGCGGCACGGTGACACGCACGTCACGCATGACGTGGCGGCACGGTGACACTCACGTCACGCATGACGCGGTGGCACGGTGACACGCACGTCACGCATGACACGGTGGCACGGTGACACGCACGTCACGCATGACGCGGCGGCACGGTGACACGCACGTCACGCATGACACGGCGGCACGCGTGGCGCGGCGTGCACGGCACAGTGTCACGCACGTCATCCTTCACACAGCAACACGCATGGCGCATCGTCGTCCCCTCTTCACCCCCTCCCCCCCCCCCCCCCCCCCCCGCGTGCCTCACCGACACGACATTGACGTAGTCGTCATCGGCCAGCGTCGCCAGCATGTTCGTCACCGACTTCTTCATGAGGCTCAGCGTGAGGCCGCTTACGCTGCCGCTGCTGTGACGGCACAGACGCCACAGCAATCAGCAACCACAGCAACAGCCACAACAATCAACAACCATAGCAACAGCCACAACGATCAACAACAACAACAACCACAACAATCACGACAATCATATCATCAGAACAATCACAATGAACACAACAATCGCAACCACATCAACAGCCACAACAATCACAACAACCACAAAAATCACAACCGCCAACAACAACCACAACCAACAACCACAACAACAACTACAACAACAATCACAACCACAACAAAACCACAATAATCTCAACTGCAACAATCACAACCACAACAATCACAACCACAACAATCACAACCAAAACAACCACAACAAAACCACAACAATCACAACCACAACAATCACAACCAAAACAACCACAACAAAACCACAACAATCACAACCAGAACAATCACAACCCCCCCAAAAGGCCAGAGCAATCACAACCACAACAACCGTCATCACCGTCACAATCACCAACAACAATCACCACAACCGCCACAACAATTACAAAAACAACCACAACAATCAACCAACATCAACAGGCATTCGACACTAAGTGGCAGTGACGTCACCACGGCGATTGTGCCAGGCTAGGTGCACTTTGAGGCCACGTGAAGTGTCGAAGGCTCGCTGGTATGTCAGAACAACAGACCCAGGTGCCATGGGTCGACTGACTAAGATGACTGATCGATGCACCAGCTGTGCCCTCTACTGTGCCAACTTGTTTCATTTTATCCACCCGGCGTTCCACTCGTTGTTGTGAGCGTCGCTCCTCTGCCCTCCGTTGTTGCTGGAGGGCGACTGCCTCCAACTGCCCAGTAGCATCCTTCACGAGCCTCCTCCACAGAAGCCGATCTTGACACCGCTGGTACCAGTCATCGGCAAGTCCACTCAGCTCCACGTCCTCCTGTACCACATCACTCCATCTCTTCTCTAGCCCGTGCCGCGCCCGTTTCGTCCCCCTCGATCCGCCCAGATAAAAGCTGCTTGGGCATGCGGTGGCTGCGCACACAGTCAAGGCTGCCTTGCCTGCCGGAGGAGCTTACCGATGGGACAGTGTCCAGATCGATCAAGGATTTGTGAGCTGCTCACACAATCCAGCCTGGCTAAAACTCACAACAATAACCACCACAACGATCACCACCACAACCACCACAACCAACCACAACCACGAGAACCAGGAGGAGACGTTGGCACGTCGCCGGCGCTACTCACACGTCCACCAGAATCACCATGTCCTTGGGAGATGCGGCACCCTGGATGTACCTGGGGGATGCGGGGTGGAGGAGGGGGGGGGGGGGGGCACAGAGGGGTGAATAACGACACCGCGTATCTCTCCACCTGCCTCTCTCCTCTCATCTCACTCCACTCCCCTCCACGCACTCTCCTACCTCTCCCTCTCATCTCACTCCCCTCCACGCACTCTCCTAACCTCCCCCTCTCATCTCACTCCACTCCCCTCCACACACTCTCCTACCTCTCCCTCTCATCTCACTCCACTCCCCTCCACGCACTCTCCTAAACTCTCCCTCTCACCTCACTCCACTCCCCTCCACGCACTCTCCTAACCTCTCCCTCTCACCTCACTCCCCTCCACGCACTCTCCTACCTCTCCCTCTCATCTCACTCCACTCCCCTCCACGCACTCTCCTAACCTCTCCCTCTCACCTCACTCCCCTCCACGCACTCTCCTAACCTCTCCCTCTCACCTCACTCCCCTCCACGCACTCTCCTAACCTCTCCCTCTCATCTCACTCCCCTCCACGCACTCTCCTAACCTCTCACCTCACTCCCCTCCACGCACTCTCCTAACCTCTCCCTCTCACTCCACTCCCCTCCACGCACTCTCCTACCTCTCCCTCTCATCTCACTCTACTCCCCTCCACGCACTCTCCTAACCTCTCCCTCTCATCTCACTCTACTCCCCTCCACGCACTCTCCTAACCTCCCCCTCTCATCTCACTCCACTCCCCTCCACGCACTCTCCTACCTCTCCCTCTCATCTCACTTCAGGTTGTTGTTATTGTTGAGTTCAGGCAAACCGGGTTGCCGTGGAAACCAGCTTGCGTGAGTGCCACGGTGAGCTACACGGTGAGCGGCGTGGTGAGCGGCGTGGTGAGCGGCGTGGTGAGCGGTGTGGTGAGCTGCACGGTGAGTGGCGTGGTGAGCGGCGTGGTGAGCGGCGCGGTGAGCGGCGTGGTGAGAGTCGCGGTGAGTGGCATGGTGAGAGTCGCGATGAGCGGCGTGGTGAGCGGCATGGTGAGCGGCGTGGTGAGCGGTGTGGTGAGCTGCACGGTGAGTGGCGTGGTGAGCGGCGTGGTGAGCGGCGCGGTGAGCAGCGTGGTGAGAGTCGCGGTGAGTGGCATGGTGAGAGTCGCGATGAGCGGCGTGGTGAGCGGCGTGGTGAGTGGTGTGGTGAGCGGCCTGGTGAGAGTCGCGGTGAGCGGCATGGTGAGCGGCACGGTGAGCGGTGTGGTGAGCGGCGTGGTGAGCGGCGTGGTGAGCGGTGTGGTGAGCGGCCCCTACCATGGCCGCCGGCGGACGTCGTAGAGATCCACCTTCTTGGGGTTGCAGGACCACGGCAGTGCTGGGTGGGGAAAAGCGGTGGGACACTCATCACCCGTCCGATGACGATGACGACGACATCCACTAACTTGCTCACCCACTCACCCGCCCACCCACTCACCCACTCACCCACTCACCCACCCACCCGCTCACCCCCACCCACCCACTCACCCGCTCACCCACTCACCCGCTCACCCCCACCCACCCACTCACCCCCACCCACCCACTCACCCCCACCCACCCGCTCACCCACTCACCCACTCACCCACCCACCGGCTCACCCCCACCCACCCGCTCACCCCCACCCACCCACTCACCCACCGGCACCCCCCGACTTGCTCACCCACTCACCCCCATCCAATCATCCCTCCCCACTCACCCCCGCCCACTAGCTCACCTCTACCCACACGCCCATCCATGCCCGCCCACCCACATGCCCGCCACGCTCCCCCCGGTAGTTCCACCACCACCACCACCACCGCCACCACCGCCACCAGCGCTACCTGGGTAGTATCGCGTGAGTCCGGTGGCGCTGCCAAACACCTGCCACAGCAGCTTGGGGTCCTGCCGCTTGTTCTCCTTGAACACCTGCTCCAGGCCAGCCGTCCAGTACAGCTCGTTCAGGATGATGGACGCTGTGCGGGAGAGCGCGGGGCGATAGAGGGGAAAGAGAGGGGAGAGAGAGGGGGGAGAGAGCAGAGAGAGATGGAAGAAAGAGTGGAGAGAGAGTGGAAAGAGAGAGTGGAGAGAGCGGAGAGCGCAGAAAGAGAGAGGAAAAAGGGGTGAGAGAGAGGAGATAGTGGAGAGAGAGTGTGTGAGTGCGAGTCGGTTGGAGTGCGTGCGTGGGTGACGCACAGCCGTTGTAGATGTCGGTGTGGATGTGTGTGTGTGTGCGAGTCCGTGGGAGTGTGTGCGTGGGTGACGCACAGCCGTTGTAGATGTCGGTGTGGATGTGTGTGTGTGCGAGTCCGTGGGAGCACGTGCGTGGGTGATGCACAGCCGTTGAAGATGTCGGTGTGGATGTGTGTGTGTGTGCGAGTCCGTGGGAGTGCGTGCGTGTGTGACGCACAGCCGTTGTAGATGTCAGTGTTGATGTGTGTGTGTGTGCGAGTCCGTGGGAGTGCGTGCGTGTGTGACGCACAGCCGTTGTAGATGTCGGTGTGGATGTGTGTGTGTGTGCGAGTCCGTGGGAGTGCGCGCGTGGGTGACGCACAGCCGTTGTAGATGTCGGTGTGGATGTGTGTGTGTGCGAGTCCGTGGGAGTGTGTGCGTGGGTGACGCACAGCCGTTGTAGATGTCAGTGTGTATGTGTGTGTGTGTGCGAGTCCGTGGGAGTGCGTGCGTGGGTGACGCACAGCCGTTGTAGATGTCGGTGGGGATGTGTGTGTGTGCGAGTCCGTGGGAGTGCATGCGTGGGTGACGCACAGCCGTTGTAGATGTCGGTGGGGATGTGTGTGTGTGCGAGTCCGTGGGAGTGCGTGCGTGGGTGACGCACAGCCGTTGTAGATGTCGGTGTGGATGTGTGTGTGTGCGAGTCCGTGGGAGTGTGTGCGTGGGTGACGCACAGCCGTTGTAGATGTCAGTGTGTATGTGTGTGTGTGTGCGAGTCCGTGGGAGTGCGTGCGTGGGTGACGCACAGCCGTTGTAGATGTCGGTGGGGATGTGTGTGTGTGTGCGAGTCCGTGGGAGTGCGCGCGTGGGTGACGCACAGCCGTTGTAGATGTCGGTGTGGATGTGTGTGTGTGCGAGTCCGTGGGAGTGTGTGCGTGGGTGACGCACAGCCGTTGTAGATGTCAGTGTGTATGTGTGTGTGTGTGCGAGTCCGTGGGAGTGCGTGCTTGGGTGATGCACAGCCGTTGTAGATGCCGATGTGGATATGTGTGTGCGAGTCCGTGAGAGTGCGTGGGTGACGCACAGCCGTTGTAGATGTCGGTGTGGATGTGTGTGTGTGTGCGAGTCCGTGGGAGTGTGTGCGTGGGTGACGCACAGCCGTTGTAGATGTCGGTGTGGATGTGTGTGTGTGCGAGTCCGTGGGAGCACGTGCGTGGGTGACGCACAGCCGTTGAAGATGTCGGTGTGGATGTGTGTGTGTGTGTGCGAGTCCGTGGGAGTGCGTGCGTGTGTGACGCACAGCCGTTGTAGATGTCAGTGTGGATGTGTGTGTGTGTGCGAGTCCGTGGGAGTGCGTGCGTGTGTGACGCACAGCCGTTGTAGATGTCGGTGTGGATGTGTGTGTGTGTGCGAGTCCGTGGGAGTGCGCGCGTGGGTGACGCACAGCCGTTGTAGATGTCGGTGTGGATGTGTGTGTGTGCGAGTCCGTGGGAGTGTGTGCGTGGGTGACGCACAGCCGTTGTAGATGTCAGTGTGTATGTGTGTGTGTGTGCGAGTCCGTGGGAGTGCGTGCGTGGGTGACGCACAGCCGTTGTAGATGTCGGTGGGGATGTGTGTGTGTGCGAGTCCGTGGAAGTGCGTGCGTGGGTGACGCACAGCCGTTGTAGATGTCGGTGTGGATGTGTGTGTGTGCGAGTCCGTGGGAGTGCGTGCGTGGGTGACGCACAGCCGTTGTAGATGTCGGTGGGGATGTGTGTGTGTGCGAGTCCGTGGGAGTGCGTGCGTGGGTGAGGCACAGCCGTTGTAGATGTCGGTGGGGATGTGTGTGTGTGCGAGTCCGTGGGAGTGCGTGCGTGGGTGACGCACAGCCGTTGTAGATGTCGGTGGGGATGTGTGTGTGTGCGAGTCCGTGGGAGCGCGTGTGTGGGTGACGCACAGCCGTTGTAGATGTCGGTGGGGATGTGTGTGTGTGCGAGTCCGTGGGAGTGCGTGCGTGGGTGACGCACAGCCGTTGTAGATGTCGGTGTCGGTGTGGATGTGTGTGTGTGCGAGTCCGTGGGAGTGCGTGCGTGGGTGACGCACAGCCGTTGTAGATGTCGGTGGGGATGTGTGTGTGTGTGTGAGTCCGTGGGAGTGTGTGTGTGGGTGACACACAGCCGTTGTAGATGTCGGTGGGGATGTGTGTGTGTGCGAGTCCGTGGGAGTGTGTGTGTGGGTGACGCACAGCCGTTGTAGATGTCGGTGGGGATGTGTGTGTGTGCGAGTCCGTGGGAGTGCGTGCGTGGGTGACGCACAGCCGTTGTAGATGTCGGTGGGGATGTGTGTGTGTGCGAGTCCGTGGGAGTGCGTGCGTGGGTGACGCACAGCCGTTGTAGATGTCGGTGGGGATGTGCACGGCGGTGAAGCTCTCGTTGGCCACGCGCGAGTCGCTCCGGCTCGTCTCGTCGCTCCTCGCCTCACGGTCATCGGGGATGCACTACCGGGGCAACATCAACATCATCACACTAGCAGTCATCGTCATGAGCATTGTTAACATCGTCACACCAGCAGTCATCATCGTCATCATCGTCATCATCGTCATCATCATCATCAGCATTGTTAACATCGTCACACCAGCAGTCATCATCGTCATCATCGTCATCATCGTCATCATCGTCATCAGCATTGTTAACATCGTCACACCAGCAGTCATCATCGTCATCATAGTCATCATCGTCATCATCATCATCAGCATTGTTAACATCGTCACACCAGCAATCGTCATCGTTGTCATCGTCACCAGCATTGTTAACATCGTCACACCAGCAGTCATCATCGTCATCATAGTCATCATCGTCATCGTCACCAGCATTGTTAACATCGTCACACCAGCAATCGTCATCGTTGTCATCGTCACCAGCATTGTTAACATCGTCACACTAGCAGTTATCATCGTCATCATCGTCAACACCATCGTCAGCATTGTTAACATCGTCATCATCATCATCAGCATTGTTAACATCGTCGTAAACGTCATCACATTCAATCATTGTCGTACGTCACGCTCATTTAGTTCCGGCTGGACATGAACAGGAGCGGGGAGTCGACAGCGGGGGGCCACGTGGGTCGGGAGGTCCAGACCACAGGCGGCTGCAGTGGAGCGAGTGAGAGGGAACGAGAGAGAGCTCGGGAGAGTGGCAGAGTGCGAGAGAGAGATAGGGAGTGCATGAGATAGAGAGAGAGTGAGATAGAGAAAGAGAGTGAGATAGAGAGAGTGAGATAGAGAGTGCGTGAGATAGAGAGAGAGCGTGAGATAAAGAGAGTGTGAGATAGAGAGAGAGATAGAGAGTGCGTGAGATAGAGAGAGAGAGTGAGATAGAGAGAGAGAGTGTGAGATAGAGAGTGAGATAGAGAGAGAGATAGAGAGTGCATGAGATAGAGAGAGAGAGCGTGAGATAGAGAGAGTGAGAGGGTGAGATACAGAGTGCGTGAGATAGTGCGTGAGATAGAGAGAGCATGAGATAGAGAGTGCGTGAGATAGAGAGAGAGAGAGATAGTGCATCAGAATCAGAAAGGGTTTTATTCACCATGAAAGTTCGCACAGACAAGGAATTTACTTTGGCAGGAAGGTGCATACATTCAACATATAGGAATCTTAAATATTAATATAAAGTATCTATAAAATACAATCTAAAATACAAAAAAATACAAATAGGGTAACATAGTGTAAATATGGCAAGGTGTCATTTTGTAGATAAAATGTTAAAGTCAGTGTAAGCCCTTGGCCTTGTTGAAGAGGCCAGCAGTGGATGGGAAGAAACTGTTTTTGTGGCGTGAGGTTTTGGTCCTTCTGCCGGCGGGGAGTACCTGGAACAGAGAGTGTCCAGGGTGGGAGGAATCGGCCACAATCTTCCTAACTCGCCACATGGTCCTCGAGGTGTGCAGGTCCTCGAGGGTTGATAGATTGCAGGCAATCACCTTCTCAGCAGTGTGGATAATACGCTGTAGTCTGCTCTTGCCCTTGGCAGTGGCAGCAGCGTACCAGACGGTTATGGAGGAGGTGAGGATTGATTCAATTATTGCTGTATATAAGTGCACCATTATTGTCTTTGGAAGGTTGAATTTCTTCAGCTGCCGTAGGAAGTATATCCTCTGTTGAGCTCTCTTGGTGAGGGAGCTGATGTTCAGTTCCCACTTGAGGTCCCGGGAGAGAATAGTGCCCAGGAAGCAGAAGGACTACACAGTTTTGACTGGGGAGTCACACAGGGTGATGTGGGTGAGTGGGGCTGTATTCTTCCTGAAGTTCACAACCATCTCAACTGTCTTTAAAGCATTTAGCTCTAAGTTGTTCTGGCTACACCAGGTCACCAGGTTGTCAGCTTCCCACCTATAGTCAGACTCATCCCCACCAGAGATCAGCCCAATGAGGGTGGTGTCATCCGCAAACTTCAAGAGTTTGATGGATAGATGATTGGAGGTGCAGCTGTTGGTGTACAGGGAGAAGAGCAGTGGGGAAAGGACGCAGCCCTGAGAAGTTCCGGTGCTGATGGACCTGGAGTCAGAGACTTGTGTTCCCAGCTTAACGCACTGCTTCCTGTCAGACAGGAAGTCTGTGATCCACCTGCAGGTGGAGTCGGGCACGTTCAGCTGGAAGAGCTTGTCCTGAAGCAGGGCAGGGATGATGGTGTTGAAGGCAGAGCTGAAGTCCACAAACAGGATCCTGGCGTAGGATGCTGGGGAGTCCAGATGCTGTAGGGTGAAGTGGAGGGCCATGTTAACTGCGTCGTCCACAGACCTGTTGGCTCTGTAGGTAAACTGAAGGGGGTCCAGGAGAGGTTCTGTGATGGCTTTGAGGTGTGCCAGTACCAGGCACTCAAAAGATTTCGTTACCACAGAAGTAAGGACGACCGGTCTATAATCATTTAGTTCTGTTGGCCTTAGCTTTTTGGGCACAGGGATGATGGTGGAGGACTTGAGACAGGCTGGTACATGGCATGTCTCCAGGGAGGTGTTAATGATGTTGGTGAACACCAGAGACAGCTGGTCAGCGCAGTGCCTGAGGGTGGCTGGAGAGATAGAGTCCAGCCCAGCTGCTTTGCGTGGGTTCTGCCTCTTGAAAAGTCTATTAACTTCTCCCTCCTGAAAGGAGAGAGTCGTCTCTGTAGTAGGGGTGGGGAATGGGGCCTCTTGGGTGGGAGGGGGTAGTTCAGGACAGTCCAATTGTCTTTCAAATCTGCAGTAGAACTCGTTCAGGTCGTTGGCCAGGCGGGAGTCGTTAGGGGTGTGGGGAGCTCTGGGCTTGCAGTTGGTGATCTGCCTGAGCCCTCTCCAGACAGAAGCAGAGTCGTTAGCAGAGAACTGGTGTTTTAGTCTGTCTGAGTACAGTCGTTTAGCCTCTCTCACCGCCTTACTAAAACTGTTCTTCGACTCCATGGAATCTGTCTCTATCCCCACTCCTAAACGCTTCCTCCTTCTCCAACCTCAACCTTCTGAGCTTTGCTGAGAACCAGGGCTTGTTGTTGTTGAAGTTCACCCTGGTACGTGTTGGAATACAGCAGTCCTCACAGAAGCTAATGTACGATGTCACAGCCTCTGTGAGTTCATCCAGACTATTGGTAGCAGTTGTGAACATATCCCAGTCAGTACAGTCCAAGCACGCCCGCAAATCCTCAACAGCCTCACTGGTCCACTGTTTAGATGTCCTCACAGCAGGTTTACAGAGCTTTAGTTTCTGCCTGTATGCTGGAATCAGGTGGACCATGGCATGGTCAGAGTGTCCCAGTGCTGCTCGGGGGACGGCGTGGTAGGCTCTACTGACTGTAGTGTAGCAGTGATCCAGAGTGTTCCCTTCTCTGGTAGGGCATTTAATGAATTGTATGTATTTGCGGAGTTCGTGGCTGAGATTACCTTTGTTAAAGTCGTCAAGTACGATAACCAGCGAATCTGGATTTGCTCGCTCCACACTCAGAATCTGGTCGGCGAGCATGCGTTGGGCCTCTTTAACCTGAGGACCCGGCGGCAAATAAACTCCGACCAAAATGAGCGACGCGAACTCGCGAGGCGAGTAGAAAGGTTTACAGTTTATAAAAACAATTATTCAAGGAGCGGAGAACAATGTTGCAGTATCACTGTGACATCTACATACCGGCCACTTTTAATGTAAAAACAAAAACCACCGCCTTTTGTCTTACCGGAGAGTGCTATGTCACGATTCGATCTTACAAGATGGAATCCTGCCAGTTGTAGCGCAGTGTCCGGAATCAAATCACACAGCCATGTCTCCATGAAGCACAAAATAGAAGATGAAAGAAAGTCTCTGTTTTTCACCATCAGTAGCTGAAGTTCGTCCATTTTGTTGCACAGTGAACGTACGTTGGAGAGGAAAAAGCTCGGAAGCACTGTTCGGATCCCGCGTCTGCGTAGCCATACTAGAGCCCCCGACCGTTTACCCCTTGGGCGGCATTTCGCTGCTTGAGCAAAGCCTAGCGTGGCTTTGATCAGAATGCCCAGTAATTCTGCAGCTGGAAGCAGAAAAGTGGGAAATAAATCCACAGGAGTTGTTTCCCTGATGTTTAAAAGTTCGTCTCTTGTTAGGAACTTCGAAAATCCATGCAAAATACTGAATTAACAGACAAAACAAGACAAAACAGGGCGCACCGACCGGCTGAGGCTACCATCATCGGCACCATCTTCGCACCAGCACAGGTGTGCTGAACAGTAGGCCTCTCTCACCAGCACGCATGTGCTGAACAGCAGGCCCCCCTCACCAGCACGGGTGTGCTGAACAACAGGCCCCTCTCACCAGCACGGGTGTGCTGAACAGCAGGCCCCTCTCACCAGCACGAATGTGCTGAACAGCAGGCCTCTCTCACCAGCACGAGTGTGCTGAACAGCAGGCCTCTCTCACCAGCACGAGTGTGCTGAACAGCAGGCCTCTCTCACCAGCACAGGTGTTTTGAACAGCAGGCCTCTTTTGCTAGCACCGGTGTGCTGAACAGCAGTCGCCTCTCACCAGCACGGGTGTGCTGAACAGCAGGCCTCTCTCCCCAGCACGAGTGTGCTGAACAGCAGGCCTCTCTCACCAGCACGAGTGTGCTGAACAGCAGGCCTCTCTCACCAGCACCGGTGTGCTGAACAGCAGGCCCCTCTCACAAACACAGGTGTGCTGAACAGCAGGCCTCTATCACTAGCACCTGTGTGCTGAACAGCAGTACCCTCGCTGAACAGCAGGCCTCTCTCACCAGCACGGGTAATCAAGCAAAACAAGACAAAACCGGACAAAACAGGACACACCTACCGGCCGAGGCTGCCATTATCGGCGCCATCTTAATGAGATAGAGAGACAGTGAGATAGAGAGTGCGTGAGATAGAGAGAGTGAGATAGAGAATGCGTGAGATAGAGAGAGAGTGAGATAGAGAGTGCGTGAGATAGAGAGAGAGAGAGTGAGAAAGAGAGAGAGATAGAGAGTGTGTGAGATAGAGAGAGATAGAGAGAGA